CTGCGCTCTCAGCACTGCCGGAGGCAGCCAAGAGCAGGAGGGCCCAGAGCATTCTGGGGACGGGGAGCAGGGATGCCAGGGTCAGCACGGCTGGCGGGAGGGGGGTGCAGGCCTCCGGATCCCTTGTCCTCACTGGTCCTTGGGATGCTCCCTGGAGGAAGGAAAGCCGGTGGGTCAGAGGCCCCTGGGCTCCTGCAGAAGCGAGTGGGAGCCGCCACCAACGGGCCAGGCGGGCAGGGGTCCCCGAGCTCCTCAGGACCAACTCTGCCTGGTGCCTGAACCCCGGCTCCACCGGTCTCTGCAGCTTCGTGATGTGCGCGGTGGGGCTCCTATCAGACAGATGAGAACCATGCGAGACAGGAAACAAGCCACTGGGAGACAACCCTGTTTACACCGCAGCGTTAGCCTTCGGTTTGATACACAACATGCAAAACTGCCTGAGCGGTGCGTCCTATGGAGACAGATGGGTTGTGCCGCACGGAAGCTCGGGCAGCCGCCCGAGCCTGACTCCAACCGGAGACCGCCGTGGACGCCCCCAGCCCCTCTCCCGTTCTCGCACACCGAGGCTGGACACCTGGGGATGCCCGGCCCGCTTGCCAGATTTGCTCTTATCAACAAGAGCGGCCTTCCTGTGGAACTTGTGGGTTACAGGTCCTGGAAAAACGGGACTTTCACATCCTCTGAAAAAAGCGCCAGTCTCAGGTTTCCAGTAAAGTACCCTGATTACCCTGATTAGTTTGAACTATTTAATTTAAACTAGTGACACTTTGATTAAATAATAATAATAGTAGACTTGTTTTGCCCCCCAGTTTGTGGTCCTGGGTGAAGCCTGCCCCAGACCCTCACACACGGACCCCTCCACGCTTCCCCAGCCCCCAGCTTTCCCCTCCCTCGGGTCATCAGGTACAAACCCCAGACGTTGGAGGGAGCATTTTGGGGTCATGTTCTGTGTTTCTCTGTGCCTGTTTCACGGTGCTTTGTGGGTTAGCTCTGGCTCCCCGGACCCCGGACCCGGAACGCTTGACTTAGGCCCTTCCACACGGCTCCCAGCGCACCTCCTCGGCCCCGCTTTTCCATGTGACACCGGCTGCTGCGTCTCCCAGCTGCTGGGGGGTGAGCTGGCTCACCGTGCTTTTTGGCCCTTTGGGTTTTCACGTTGCCACTGCCTTTGTAAACCCTCTGCCCACTTTTCTGGGACAGTCTGTCTTCTCCTTACAGGTTTATGAGACTTTCGTGCCGTAAAGAATCAAACTGTCATCCGTGATCATCTTTCCTCCCCAGCTGTTTCTGGAATAAACAGATTTGTTTGGTGTTCTGGCGTTTGTCATCCTGTCTGTCTTCTCCTTGAAAACCTCAAGGTTTTGTTTCAAAGTGTTTTTTGTTTGTTTAAAGTGTCCTTTTAAAAAGGCCGCCCAGATTGTTGCAAATCCACAGTGGCCAAATTTTATCTAGTTTTCTGTTCAAATCTTGAAGCCACATCAATGTCACTTTGCAAGTGGCGTGTGACAGGGTCCATTTTGCTTCCTTCCAGAAGGAGGGAAGGAGGTGCCCAAGGCATTTGAGAGTGAAGCCCCCGTCCCCTCCGGCCAAGGTGCCTCCACCACTGAGGACCTGCCGGCAGCATCTCCACCCCGGATGCGGCCGTGGCACACGTCCAGGGAGCTGTGTTATCCGCTGTGTTTCACACAAGGGAGGCGGCTCCTCTGCTGCTTTGTTTAGCTTTCCCACAAGAACATTAACCCAATTTTAACCAATATTTTTAGAATCAAGAATGTGGTGATTGAGTAGGGGAGTGGCTGCCCCGATCCTGCCCAGACCCGCTCGGAATAACATAGACGAGGCGGAGATTTCACAGCGGGACACTGTCCAGCGGCAGCCTTTCTGATTTCGCTGCCTGTCAGCGATCACCCAGATGGGGCATAAACAGCTCATCACCACTCAGTGCTGCTGGGACCCTTAGGTGGGTGGAAGGTTCCAGAAAGAGGGGTCATACTTTCTTGACTGGGCCTTTTCCTGTCACCTCAGATAAGATCTTCTCAATCCTTTTCCTGAATATTTTTACAAAATAGTAACTTTTCTTACATTGGGAGGTTCTGATACACAGAACGGTATCAGAACAGCTGATACCCCGGGGCCCAGCAGCGCCCTTCTGGTGGTGCACAGTGACCCCAGGCCCCTGGAGGGAGACGCCTGTGCAGACCTGGAGGAAGCCCTGGGCAGGACCGTCAGCCCTCCAGTCTCCTTCTGCCTTAAGAGCAGAACCGTCTCCCGATGCCCCCCCACCAGCCTCTCTCTGCCCTGCCACCCCCACAGCCTTTGGCCCCCACAATTCCCCAGCCTCCCGACGTGGGTCCAGGTGCCCCGTCGACCAGAAGGCAGGCCAAGGTCTCCCCTGGCCAGAGGTGCGGGAGGACATACTCCCTGGGGGTCAGCGGCCTGGCCTCCCTGACCCCTAGGGCTGGAGTGGGCAGGCGTCCTCATGGCCACATGGAGGACTCACCCCCAGGGCACCAAAGCAAGAACGCCACCTGAGCGCGGGCGGTGCTCCAGGAGCGGCGGCCCCTCCATGGTGTGAGTGACAGAGTGTCCTGCGGGTGGCCTGGCCTGGGTATCCACCAAGAGGCACCCCCAGCCCTCTGTCCACTTATTTCCACCACGTTCCTCACATGTGAACTTGGGACTTGGCAGGAGGCAGGCGTGCTTTTCTGGGAGAGGGGTGCCCAGGGCTCTGCGGGGTCCAGAAGGAACCCCTCCTCACACGTTGTCCTGACTGTGGTCAGGTGTTTTTCCTTCCAGTGACTCTAGGGTCTTGTTTCACACTCCGAGTACACTTTCCGGGATGTTGTTTGAGAATAAATGAACAGTTGGCCTAGTTCACAATCCTGGACCGTCCAGGGCCTCACTCCACGTGGAGCCAGGATGGCCCGGCCTGGTGGAGCCACCTCCTCTCTGGAGGCCACCACAATCTTACTTCTGCTCCCCGACCCCTGCAAGGCTCACCCCGCCGTGTGCACGCAGACACACACACACTCAGGGCCTCCCACATGCTCTGCATTCAGAAGGTGTTCAATCCCTGTGGACCTGCTCAGCCTCCCCACTGGGGCTGTCCCGTGTCCCGTGAAGGCTGTGGTCAGTCCCCCACAGTGGGCCCTGGGCAGGAGCCACAGCTGAGCTGGGGGGTCAAAGGTCAGCCTTGGTCCTCATCTGGACCAGTGACACGGAGAGGGAGTGACCTCAGCAGAAGCGTGTTTACTTGGCAGGTGCTGACCTGGCTGCTGGACTTTGGGAGCAAGAGGAAAGTGAAAGCAAGCAGCGGGCTGGGGTCCAGAGGTCAGCCCGGGGGACAGACGGCCACCTTCTGCAGCGAGGGTGCGGTCCTCGGGGAGGTGTGCAGGGCTCCCCATCAGTCAGTCCCACCTGGCCACCCTCTGCCCCCCGGGACTCCATATTGTGTCTGCCTGTGAGGGACTCTCCCGTGATGCTGGCTTCCAGCCTCCCTGCCCAGCCCCAGCATCCTAACAACTGTTCCACATTGACTCATTGTTTTAAACATTATAATCTAATTTAGCCTCACCTGTGATCATTAGCTGTGTTTTTATACACATGCGTCTCACACACAATGAAATGACCAGAAAACAGGTAAACCAGGAGGTGCCACAGACCCCCCTCCGCTGCCCTGTGTGGGTATGACCTACGGAAAGGTGACACTTGGTCATCCTCTGTCATGTTGTCCCAGAGAGGCTGGGGACTGCTGACAGTATGGGCTCCCAGACAGGGCTGGCTAGGGCTCCAGGCTCTTCCTCCCACTGCCCAAAGCCCCCAGTCTCCTCTGAGCCTTCTCCCAGCTCTCAGGGCCTCTGTCCTCAGACACAGGCACCCCTCAGTCACTCTTCACAGCTCCCTGAGGTCCTCCTCGCTGGGAAAGCCCCTGGATGCTTCCAGAATCCAGAAAAGGAGACACCTGGGTCACACACTCCCTACCCCTAAAGTGCACCCATCTTGGGCCGGGCTCCTCACCGTTAGGGGCTAGAGCCTAAGGGCTGGGGGTACCTCCAGCCTGGGGTAGACCCTCTGAAACCATGGACAAGTCTTAATTCAACCGAAACAAATCTGTAAAATGGAGGCAAACTTCCACCTCATAGAGCACAGGAAGGGCTGTCTGCAAAGAGCGGGACTGGAGGCGGAGGGGCTGGACCGCAGCGGGAGGGCACCCTGTCCTCAGGCGCATTCTGCCGCCCTGATCTGTCTGGGCTTCTACTGTTGTCTTACTTTTAAACATCAGTATGTTCTGTGCAATATTTGGGACATACTTGTATTTCAGAATGATTCATTGAGGGGAGGGTATGGCTCAAGTAGTAGAGCGCATGCTTCGCATGCCTGAGGTACTGGGTTCAATCCCCAGTACCTCCACTGAAAAATCAAATAAATAAATAAACCTAGTTACCTCCCCCTGCAAAAAAGAAAAGAAAAGAAAAAAATTTATTCATTAACTGAAATTCAGGTGGGTCTGTAAGTCTGGCAGCTGAACTCTGCCTGAATCTTCCGACTTCTCACCAGTGCTGCAAAGGGCAGGGAAACCGGAGAGAGGGAGGGCCAGAGCACAGCAGCAAAGTGAGGAGCGAGAAGGCAGAGGCTCAGGTGTGAGGCAGGAAGGCTGGGTGTGTGAGCAAGAACTGGAGCGGCCTGGAGACTTCTGGAACTGGGAAAGGCAGAGGCAACAATTCAGATTTCTCTCAAATCACCGGGCCAGGAACTGGCATCTGCACAGACTGAAATGCCGCGATGCAGTCACTGGGGAGCAGATCCCACCCGGGAGTCAGCGAGACGTCTTGGAACGTGCACACCGTTGTCAGCACCTTGTGCTACCATGGGTCCTCAGGAAAACTGAGGCAGCAGGTTGCTGGAAATGAGGTGTCAAGTGGCCAGGTGCATAGGGGTCCTGAGTTGGCAAGGATCTCCACTCCCACAGCACCTGAGAGCAGCCTGCAGCTTCCCCATCTGCCGCAGGGGCTCAGGTAGCACCCACTTGGAGGTTTACATGGGGAGGTGAGCCTAGGCACCCTCTCCCCAACACTGGACAGGGAGGCGACCAACCACCTCCAGAGGACAGCTGCAAAGGCGCCGAGCCCCACCCTGGCTCAGAGAGATGAAATGCTCCAGTCCTGGTCCCTGCTGCTGGGGCCTCGAGGGGATCCCAGCTGGGCGGTAAGTCCTCCAGGCCCAGGGACTGAGCCCGCAGCCCTTCCGCCTCAGCCCCACCCAGGCTGTGCACTCTGCGTGGCTGCTTCTTGCGCACTCCGCTCCGCTCCGTTCACGAGGCACTTCCTCTGAAAGCCCTTCTCCCCCTGCCCGGGACCCTGCATACCCCCACCACCTTCACTTCATAGTCCCTGGGGACAGGAGGGCCTCCTGGGGGCTCTGGCTCCACAGGCATGAAAAGTGGTTTCCAACTGCAGATCATTAACCAGCAGTGGGTGGGGAACTCATTGTAGTGGCTGCTGCAGACAAACCAAAAACGAAAGGGGAGCGCGGGAAGGGGCCGTTGGGGCCCCCCACCACCTGAGGGCAGTCTCAGGGGCTTCATTTTGTTCTACGAGTGTTTGTGAGTGAATGAGCTGCGAGTGTGAGAGTTCACGCGTGTGCGCCAGCGCCCCCGGAGCACTCGCAAGTGTGAGGGCACCGCCGCTGGGCCTGGAGTGGGCGCGGGGGCAGGAGCGACTCTGTCCGGACGGGTGTCCCCGGGAGCCCGAGCTGCCACCTCCCTGCCCCTCCAAGAGCCCAGCCCGGGGACGCCCCGCAGAGAC